TGTTCAATTTGAACTATTTTCTGATAACGCTGAGCTGTTTTTTTTTAATTAAATATATTCTTATTGATTTCAGAGATGAAGGAACAGGGAGAGAGAGAAACATCAATGATGAGAGTGAATCACTGACCAGCTGCCTTCTGCATACCCCCTACTGGGGATCGAGCCCACAACCCGGGCATGTGTCCTTCACTGGAATTGAACCTGGGACCCTTCAGTCCTCAAACCGGTGCTCTAGCCACTGAGCCAAACCAGCTAGGGCTGTACTTCCTTAGGAAGCTCCCCAACACCTGGCCTTCCATGAGGAATAGGAAATGGCTCAATGAACAGATATGCTCCTTTAGGCCTGATGCCTTCCCAGGTGAGCACATTTGAAACACAAGAGAATGGGATGAGTCACGCTGGGCTGGAAGGATCTCAGCTCAGGTCAATAGAATGCATAGCACTTAGTGGATGGGAACTTCTGTTTCAGCAGTAGATAGGGTTGTGTGGCCAGGCTAATAAATAAATCCCATCTAGAGCCATGCAGGGCCCACCCATCATGAGAATTCAGGCTCCCAGTTCTTGTTCTGTCAAAATGGCCTCCCCTATCCAATAGAAAGAAGAGTAAAGAAGCAAGAGAATAAACAAAGTGAAGAAAGAGAGCGAGCCCTGACCAGTTTGTCTCAATGGATAGAGCATCAGCCTGCAGACTGAGGGGTCCCGGGTTTGATTCCAGTCAAGGGCATGTACCTTGGTTGCAGGCACATCCCCAGTAGGGAGTGTGCAGGAGGCAGCTGTTCGATGTTTCTCTCTCATCAATGTTTCTAACTCTCTATCCCTCTCCCTTCCTCTCTGTAAAAAAAAATCAATAAAATATTAAAAAATAAAAAATATAATAAAATAAAATATATTTTTTTTTAAAAAAGAAAGAGAGCAAGAGAGCCCGGCTGGTGTGGCTCAGTGGTTGAGCATCAACCCATGAACCAGACACATGCCTGGATTGAAGGCTCAATCCCCAGTAGGGGGCATGCAGGAGGCAGTCAATTGATGACTCTGTCTCACCATTGATGTTTCTATCTCTCTCTCCCTTTCTCTTCTTCTCTCTGAAATTAAAAAAAAAAATTTTTTTAAAGGGAGAGAGAGAGAGTTGAGCTGAAGACAAAGAAAGAGAAAGTAAACCAATGGTCAAGAGCTATCTCATCACCAACAATGAGTGCTGAGCCCTGGGCAGAAGAGGTTGAAAACTGTACCCAAAACAAGAGGCGGGAAAAGGTCAACTCCTTCCTTCATGGCCCTCACCATCCAGTTGGAGAGATGAGGTGTGGCTCATGAAAGAACTAAAGACCAGGTCAGCACAGCCTGCAAGGAAAGGCAGATAAGTTTAGTTAAATTGGAGAAATGAGAAAGAGAAGAGTTAGTCGATAGAGTGGACCTGTCCTTTTTATCTTCTCTATGCCCTTCAGAAAATAATAAGTTCCTGTATAGCCTATATCTGCTTTTTTGAAGCAGATAGTAAATGTTTTCTTACCTTCCTTTCTGAAGTTGCAAGACTTGGCTCCATTCTGCTGCACCACTTTCACAATTTTTTGCAGGAGCTCATCCACCTGGCACTGTTCCTCTTTTTCTGTCGCTCTGTAGTTGGAGACGCTGTATCGGTTTTCACATTTCCTGACAAGCTCACAGAGGTCTCTATTGCTGGTTAAAAACGTGTCTACGTTCTGATCCTCTAGGTCTTCTTTCCTTGTGAGGAGCACAATCATATACTTAGTTAATTCGTCTTCAAAACTTTCTTGGATGGTGCTCACCATCTTTGCATAGTCAGTGAAGGAGCCCAGTGGGGTCACCAGCAGGAAGGCATGGGGCCCCTGAGGGGCATGTTTCCAAAGGTGTAATTTAAAGTGCTTTAAATCAGATAGTAAGTCTGGGCCATCAATGATCAAAATTTTCCTCCCTCTCCAGATTCTGCTCTCAGAATTAAACTCCTTGGTTACTGAGTGGTCACTGAATTTGGTCTCAAAGACTCGCTTCCCCAGAAGGCTGTTTCCGGCCGTGCTTTTTCCAACGCCACGCTTCCCCAGGAGCAGGACCTTCAGTTCTGACATCCCAGGGCTCGGCTCAGATCCTGTGGCCTGCAGCTGCTCCCCTGGAGGGCAAAAGGACAGATCCCAAGTCTCTTTTTATAGTTGGACACAAAGATGGAGACAAGTTTGATCGATTCTCTTCCTTGTCAGTTTTTATAGAAAATGGCATCAGTGCTCTGACCCAATAGAACTGTAGTCCTGGCCAGAAGTTACCCATCAAAGTAAAAGCCACGAAAGGGACCATGAACAAATTAAGAGGTATGTCAAGGGCTTGAGATTGCCCAGGAACATGAAAATGTTAAACTTGGCTCATTTTGCTACCAAAGGCAAGTACTGGGACATGAAGTCCATGGGCTAAGGCAGGACCAGGAAGAATCTACGTTTAAAATAACCATGAGTGGCCCTGGCCAGTGTGGCTCCGTTGGTTGGGTGTCATCCCATGCACCAGGAGGTTGCTCACTCAATTCTAGGTCAAGGGCACATGCCCGGATTGCAGGCTCAATCCCCAGTAAGGGGCTTGCAGGAGGCAGCCAATGGATGCATTGCTCTCACATCGATGTTTCTCTCTCTCCCCCTTCCACTCCCTCTAAAAATCAGTAAACTGGGAGAAACTAAGATGGCGGCAGAGATAAACACCGGGAAATTAATGCCGCACACAACAATTGATTAATACCTCAGAGAAACAATACGGACTTCATCCAGAACCACAGGAAGCCTGGCTGACTGTAAACTCTACAACTAGAAGGAAGGAAAAGCACACTGAGACCCGCAGAAGCTGCAGGAGAGAAGCGCAGAGGTACGGGGATCTCGCGGGGCTCGCGCGCGGAAAGGGGG